TTATCTCGCTCTGTTGAACGTTAAGTAATGGGCAAAGTTAGTAGAGGAAAAACACGCGGCAAAAAGGTAACTGAGGAAACTGCTGAAAAGCAAAACAGCGAATCGACAGACAGCTTAAGGAATATCCTAATCAATGAAATGAGTTGCCTCGGGAAGGTATATTCATGATTTCATACGATTGGAAGCGATTGCCTATGTTTTTGTATCAAGGCCGGTACTTGCTTATTGACAGGAAACTTCGTTTTTAACCCTCTCTGCGACAAATGAGAGTTGATGGCGCCTTCTTTGTTAGCAATTTGGATGCCAGCCTGGACTGTTTTTTCCTGACAAGATGGTGCCATTTCTCTCTTCTCTTGGCCTGTTTTTTTCTTTTTCTTTGCCCAAGGACTCCTCTCTAACTTTGATCTATTTTTTTTTGTCTATGAGAAGAGACTTTACTCCAGCAGAGAACTTCCATGTGTGAACCTTGTTAAATGCACGCTGTAAAAAAAAAAAAACACGCACATAACTTGAAATTGCCGCGAATATTCCCTAGGGGTCTTTCTATCTTTCTACCCATTTTCATTCCATTACCGCAGTAGAGTAGGACTAGAACGGAATATATGCGAATCATACGAGCAGTCCACCCAATAAATCCCAACGGGTGCAGTGATTACTCTAGGCTTTTCTTGAGCTTCGAGATACGCAGAATGAATGGTCTTAGTACCAGTGGTGAGCTTTTGGACCGCTACGAGTAATAGATGAATGTGAACATGAGAGTGCACTAATTGGGTCGTAGTCTTAATAGCGGCACGAGTAACTTGACATGGCATTACAGGCTCTGGGAAAGAAGTAGTGTAAATATGAATCTGTTGAACGTTGGCTAATACAAAATTTTCAGTAAAGGTTGCGGTTTTCCAGTTTTAACTCTAATACAGCTCCTTCGAAATAAACAAGTATTTCAACACTGCATTGTGGCGTCACACGCGTGACTGTAGTCATGTGATCAGAAAGTCACATAATCCGTCCTGCCACGCGGCACCTCACACTGATGTAACTCGAAAAAACCCCAACTCGTCATTTAAAAGTCTTGTTGCAGTTTTTAACCCAGAGCTCTGTGGTTTTATGGTCGTCACAACTCAACATGGTGTCAGGAGTGGGATCGAGCTTCGCTTGAGGACGACTTAAGAGAAAAAAAATTTAGAAGTGTTAGTGAGTGAACACTCGACTGAAGGGTAAAACATATTTGGCCACCATCTTGCCTTTTCTCCGGTGAATTTGCCGCCACCAAAACCGCTGATAGTGGATGACAATCTGGCTAGTAACTGGAAACAGTGGAAAAAAGTTTGGCAACGATATGAAATTGCAGCGGGAATTTACAAGCAAGAGGATCTTATTCGAGTGTCAACATTGCTATCGGTCATCAGAGAAGATGCTGTCAAAGTGTTTGATACGTTTGTTTGGATTGAAGGTCAGAAGGAAGACTGTAATAAGGATGTGTTAACCAAATTTGAATAATATTGCGAACCTCGCACTCAGGTAATTTACGAACGATATCGTTTCAATAATCGCAAACAAGAGGCAGGCGAAAGTATAAGTGCGTACGTGATCGAGTTGCGTGTGATTGCCGAGAACTGTTCTCATAACGAAATCACACCGGAAGAGATTCTACGCGACCGTTTGATCCTTGGGCTCCGAGATGACAAAGTACGAGAACGCCTTTTACGAGTAAACGATCTGACTTCGTCTAACGCAATCGATATATGCAAAGCCGCAGAGCAGACCAGTCAGCAATTAAAGATGATTACCAGCAGAACAGAGCAGACAGTTGGCGCGGTTAAAACAGAAAGGAAGAACAATCAAGGACTAAACTCAAGTAAGTGTCCACTTTTGCACAGTGCCGACCAACTACCCCACAAATAAACACTGTAGAAGAAGTAACAGAAGAAGTCTTTTGTATCATTCAAATTGGGTGTGGCTCGCGTGCAATGATTACCATGGAAGTTGGCAAGCCAAGCAGTCAGAGTCAGGTGACATTCCAACTAGACACAGGTGCAGAATGCAACCTCCTCTCGCTTAAGGATTACCGGCGAGTCACAGAGGAGGTGGATTTGAAAAAAGTCTATCTCTGCTCACACAAGTTTATTAAATAATAATAATAAATAAATAAATAAAGGTTTATTTAACAAATGAATACATGGCAGCCCCCTAGCTAAGGGGCTGAATTGCGTATTTAAAAAAATTGTAACAGAATATCTAATTTTAGTATATACTAAAACAGTGGATAGCGTTGAAGGCGCGCTCTGATTGGCTAGTCAAACTCCGAATATCCTTTGCTATTTACATCCGAGCAACTTGGGAAAAATGGCGTGCCGGTTTGCATCCGTGACAAGCGAGGAAATCACTCAAATAACGACGAAGCAGTCCCTGAAAACACAGAAAGCGACTAAATTTGGTTTGGCCGTGTTTAAAGGTAATGGTAACCGGGAGTTTATCGATAAAAACCAATGAAAAAGGTTTTGTTTACAAATGCAAATTAATCTTGCGTAACCTCACTTGTTCACTTGAAAATCAAAGTTAAATGGTATTTTTTACAGAATGGTT